GTGTGTGTGTGTGTGTGTGTGTGTGTGTGTGTAATTATGTACCAGTATGTGTCAACATCTTCTAACTTTCACTGGTTACACAGGTTTGCAGTGGGTATTGCTTATAAGTCAGCACCAAAACAGGAGTGGATTGGCAAAAACTCAGCGTCCTGGGTTGTGTCTCGCTGCAACAACTCGTGGGTGGTGCGTCACAACTGCAAGGAGATGCCGATCGAGCCTTCGCCCCACCTGCGGCGTCTCGGAATACTGTTGGACTATGACTCTGGATCCCTGTCTTTCCACGATGCCATCAGCTCTCAGCACTTGTATACGTTCGACATCGCCTTTGCTCAGCCGGTTTGCCCCGTGTTCAACGTGTGGAACAGGTGTTTGACAATCCTCACGGGTCTGCCCATCCCAGATCACTTAGAGGGGGCAGATTTCAACAAGTGACGAAACCTGTCCTGCTGCTGGATTTTCTTTGTTTGCCCCAAAAATAAAAGCACCGGACTACCTGCACCTCTTTGACTGTGTTGACCACATTCATCATGTTGACAAAAAGAAAAACAGTAGTCGAACAAATTGCGTTTACTGCCCCTGGTGTACATTCCTAATCAAGCCTATGTTGAAATTAATTGGATTTATTTAAGAAATGTTTTACAGGCATCTGTAATTGTATTTCTTTGCTTTGCACATGTATGTATTACTCAGTTGGATGGTTTCAAGGGTTTGCTTACAGTTTTTACTTTGTGGAGATTTTTCTTTTATATCTAAGTTCACATTTCATGTTTTCCATTCCTGTGTTTTTAAGGGCGGTGATAAATCTTTAAACACAAGTGACAGGTTGTGTTATAAGGTAAATGTCAGGTTTTTGAAATCTTGCTTAATTCATAGCACTTTGAGGAGACACAGTTGTCTCTATAAAAATGTCTTTCTGTGCCACTTGTATAACACGAATGTTTGCTTGAAATGTTTTGTAAGGAAAATGCACTTAGATTGATCAGATAAGAGTAGTTCACAGTTTAACGTAGACATTTTAATTTGAAATGTGTCAGCTCATTCATATGCAAATGCTCTAATACAGGTCAGCATAAAGAGATCATTAATTTTTCTTTACTGTAGCAGTTTCAGAAGAGCTCAGCATCACAGTTTCCACGTTTCATTTCTTTCTGATTAGATCCAATAAAAGTGACTTTATTTGATGACCTGTGTGACTCGTCCTCCTCGTTTTAAGACACTAAAACTGTGCCTCAGTATGATGATAATTGAATGCAGTGTACACTTGTTTACACTCATTTATACCTGATCTCTCATTAAAGCCCTAACAAGCTCTCACAATGCTGCAGTGAAAAGAAAGCACCAGCACCACCGCAGAGAGACGTGTCAGTCTTGCTTTACAGCGCTCACACTGACCCACACTCTGAGCCAAAATACAGTGTCTGACAAGATTTGCTTTGACGTCTCTTTTTGTACTGGAGTAACGTGGCTTGAATTCTGCAGCGACTCTTTTCAACTCCAGTTGATGAGCAGAAATGAAAGAGAAAAAAAAACTGAACTCAGTGTGACCTCCGCATAAGACACCCTGCAGACAGAGCTGGAACATGTGAATACGACCACCTCTGTGTAACACCACCAGGATTTTGTTAAATCCTTAGATCTGTGCATTTTTGAAGTGGGGCTGAAAGTAATTTCTGTAAATAGAATTAATCCAAATGCATAGTTCTGGTTTT